CTTCTTGTGGGTGTTCCCCCGCAGGCTATTCCAGGATGTGGTGGAGCCTCACAGTTCAGCAGTATCTGAAAATATCCTATAATTCTCTCAGTCAAACTTGAACCAGAAGAGAATGAGATTTTCTTGATGAGTTTTAATTTTTCTATTTGTTAAGTTTTTCCTTGTGAAAGCTTGAATCATAGCAAAAAGGAAAAAGAGGAACAAATGATTGCCCAACCTCCTACCGCCCTACCCAGAGCCAGCTGAGGATTGGTGACGTGAGACCTTTGACTTTTATTCAGATCAAGAGCCTAGGCTCAACCATTATAATGTTAATCAGTTCAATATTTTAGAGTGATGTTTAGAGATAGCATTTGTTGATTAATTAGGGTGTAAGCCAATCAAGATAATTATTGATGATTTTAAGGTCTATATTTTATTGTTTGTTGCTTTGCTGTAGCTCTGTTAAGCTTCTATATAAATTTCCTGAAAAGGTTGAATACTCTCTGTGGTTATTGAGTCAAGTTTTGATGATACTGATTCTTATAATTTTAGTGGATTTACACTTTTATATGGTAATTGTTAAAGTTGCACATATTACCCAATTCCCAGTGAGTATTTGAGGTTGCACAACAGTTCACAGGGTTGACAGAAGGCCAAGATTGAACAGTTAAAATGATTTTAGACAGTTACATCAGAAAAGGGTTTATCTAAAACATCCAACTGTTTACTTGTTACATAATATACACTATTCTTTAAATTTCCTACCCTTAATAACATCTTATGTCAACTAAACACTGTGCAAAACAAATATGGTCTTAAGTGTCCAGTGACACAGCTTTCATTGGTTATTTCAGACAAAATTTAACACTTCCTCAAAGACTCAGAGTGTACTGGTTTATAAAAAATTCTCAGTACCATAACAGCTGAGGGTTTAAGGAGGTAGCTGCCACAATAACTGCAGGTTGTTGTTATTTGGGAGGTTTTGGGGTTTTATCCTGAATTAATAACATGAAAGAGGGAGGTCTGCAGGGAACTCTGTTCACAGGTTCATGGTAGTTAATTACTGAGTGAATATCTCTGTCATAAAACCTCAAGCAGTGTTTGGAGCTTTAATATGTTTCAAATATGCCACCTTAGTGTGAGAGGTTAAGCTTTATTCCTATGTCCAGGGGTTAGCATATTGTTGCCTTCATACAGTGTGAACTGTGTGGGTGTTGACACACTGACACACTATCAAGTGTGTCAGTGTGAACTGACACACTTGATAGGAGTGGGTAAAAAGACTTTACCTTGCTGTCCTGAATACATCTGTACCAAGTGAGATACTACAGCAGAAGGTAGCAGAGTCAAAGTTACTGCAGGTAGATCTCATCTTACACCCGAGAATGTAACAAACATCCTGCGGAAAAACGTGAAAACCGAATGAACAGAGCAGTGTTGTTTTGAAACAGTATGTGCTTGATTTATGCCCAGTGTGTGTGCCCTTTTTTATATAAAAATACACTAACAAAGCTGCATTTTTTGCTTGCACTAATTAGAAAACCCGCTCTCTTAATTCAGATTTGACAAGAAGTGTTCGACAATGTTTGAGAACAGTTTGTTTTTTGTGTTGTAGCCAGCATTGTAAGGCAAACACTTGTTAACTTTTTTGCCAAATAAAGGAAAAGCATATTAAAATTGGTAATGCCCCCCTCCCCTCCCCCATGCTTTATGTAACATATCAAACCTCACCCCAAAACTGTGACATGCACCAAACCCTGAACTTTGTGACCCATTCATTCCTAGAAGAGAGGTTACCCTTATCTCTGGTTCACTGGTTCCACTAAAGCCTTATAGTCTTGTTGTGTCTCTCGTGAAAAGAAAAGCAAAGCTGTACCTAGAGTTGCCCCCCTCTCCCATTCTTTCTGTCACTCTGCTGTTTGCTATGCAAAACAGATTATGATGATGTACAGCCTTGGAGAAAGTGGTGCCATGTCCAAACAAATCCACCAAGAGTCAAAAAAGCTAAATTGCATCCCTGAGGAGAGTTCTGGAGCCAACAGACCATCTGTCAGTCAGACTTGGTGGTGGAGGCTCCCAACCAATTTCCATCCAGATTGTGTTCCTTTTCATCTGAAAATCACCACGCTCGGACTCACTGTGGTTTCAGATATTTTTTATCACATCTCATTTGTTTCACCATATCAGTTTATCAATTTGTGTTTTTTAAAATATTTGGGTAGTATAATGTACATCAGTGTGACAATAAGATACCAGTTGTACAGGTAAGATTTGCAAAATGTGACCACTTTTATACACAGTAGAGGTATATTTTTCAGTACCTTGTGAACACATACAGTAACTCTGTCAACGTTCCTGCATAAGGTTTGACAACTTGCGTGTGCTTCATTGCACTGTTGTTCTAAAAGTACAGTATGTGTGTAACCAAGTGTGAAATTTGTTTCCATAGAGTTCTCACTGTGCTTTTGTATTTGAAGTTTATTTTTATGTTGAAAAATGGGTGTGTGACAAAGCAGGAAGTGTACATAGTAGCACATGGTTTGTGTTAGGAGATAGAGATGACTGTATTATCATCAATTAACAGGGTGAACATCTGGAAAGGTGACATTTATAGCTGTTTAGCCATGAGTAAGCATTTTCTTTCCATTTCTTCCATGTCTCTCAACTCAGAATGAAATTGCTCAGTTGACAACTTTCCAGTATACCAGAATACAGTTTTAACAGTCTCCCTACCACCAAACATCAGGTGACAGATATTTTTAGCTATGCAAACAGTGTAGCTAGATGGCAATGTTGGATGGTTGGCCCATCAAGTTGGTCCCATCTATAGACTGTATATAAAGATGGACAACGTGTTGCCACTTCCTGCCACTATGCAAGAGTGAAACCAAAATATCGCAGATATGGGAGTTGCCATCTTGCACTGACCAGAAGTTTTAGGCTGCCAATTATAGCTGTCTATCATATGAAATACATCACTTTTTATATAATCAAATAACTTATTAAAAACAAACTTAACAGAAAAATGACCACTTGTATGATAGGATGCCATGATAATATCTAGCTAAAATGACAGAAATCATGTCCCATCTGCTGCCATGGAAAAGATTAACTGGGAGCTGGACAACACACTCTCAGAGCTAAAAATTCATTACAGGGCGGATACTAACTACTACTTCATATCTGTATGTGAACACAGTTTGTGTAACAATCCAGTTTAGATATCCCTGTTCACTCACACATAGGAAGCTCTTTGTGTACAAAAACACACAGAGGAGCCTACAGAAACACTTTAGAAAAGGAAAAACCATGGTCCAAAATTCCATCAACTAAGACAATGAGGGAATTATTGGCTACACTTGGACGTAGTATATGTACAGTGTATCCAACCCATGGTAAAACATGGCAAATAAAAACTACACACACTTTAAAAACAATTGCCATGTTCAGTAGGATTGATGTAACAGATGCTAGATCATATGTTTTAATTGCTTTTGCTTGATGTATTTCTCTGTTTTGGTGGCAGAGCTCTGAAATAGACATGAAGCTAAAAATAAGCTTCAGGTCACAGCTATGCACATAAAGCGTAAGTGATATGACATGTGACACATGGGCAGTATGGACACCTGGACTGATTAATATAGCAGCTTATCAGTGACAAGCATGTCTCAAAACAACTGAGTATGATCAAATACAAGACTGCTGTTCTAAATAAAGATCAGAACTAGATTAGCTTTATTCTGGCCGATACGGAGCCTGTGAAATTTGCCTGGCGCAGATCCAGATACTTAGTATCATACTGGGACATCTCTAGTAGGTTTCTCATTAAATACAAAAAAGCTATATATGATCCAAGGGAGTGGCCAGGGTGGCACCCCCATATTGGCCACCCCTGGTGCCACCCCTGCCAGATTCAAAATATGATGCTTGTCTGTATCAATGAATGACTTATGACAAACATTTTTCTGGTGCTTTATAATTAAGATTGGTAAAATTAGTTTTATATTATGCCATGTATGCAACATATGTGTATTCATTTCTATAACTGTGTGGAATACTTGGCATGAGTTGCCTCAATGGGGGATGGGGGGCACAAATTTAGCTAAAGAAAGCACTATGTGTTTGTCATTTTTGCAGAGAATAGACTATTTGATTCTTAATAATGTATGGTTTATTAGCTGTTTACAGAAGGCAGACTTGTAAACTGAATCCCCCCCTTGTTATGTATTATTTGGGCATGTTTGCCTTTATTACAAAGTGGATTGTGGAGTGGCAAACAAAAAACAGACTTAAACTACCAATATCACTCACACATATGTGCATGGCACCTACTGAAACCACTTGGATATCAGGGTACCAGTCTGCCCTTTTTATATTTGTTTTCTCCTACGCATCGCTGTAATGTTTGACACAATATGTAGTTTACATGACAAGTATGTAGACTGTAATATTTGATTGCTCTCCTCTTTAATTACACAACAAGAAAAAGATGGCTACCACCATCTTTGACAAACTTCAGCTTATTTTTCTTAGTACTGTACCCTGTATGTATAATAAATAATAAAAATTCAAGTATAATTTATTATCCCTCTCTCTTGTTCCCTACCTTTTTCTTCCATTGTACACATTTAAGTATTGCTAGGAAACATGATTCATACAATGAAATTACACTGTAAATGTGGGCTTCTTGTGAAGGGTTACATAATCTTTTCATCATACTCCTGGGCAGGATATGTCCCAAATTGTTGAACGATTATATAAAAGTGTACCTTCTGGATATGCTTAGTACATAAACACGGCCGGTGAGAAGAAATTATTCAGTGAAAAACATGGAGTGTGAACTGATAGGGTGTGATTTACTTACATTACCTTTTCTGGTCATAAATCAGAATGGATCTGGTGTCAGGGAACTGGAGTGCACAGTTCCTGTGGAGGTAGGTGTGTGAACCGTATTAAAGAGCCAGCAAGCTGAGATGGTAGAACTGGTTTAATGTCTCTCTGTGAAACAGGCAGGAACAGTAACAGTCTCAAGGGACAAGGGAGGGAGTAGGGTCAGTTCGGTCCGAGGTCGTAATCTCCAGCAAGGCAGCAGGGTAGGCAAGGCAGAATTGCAGGTTGGTCTAACAGGCAGGATGTCGGTATTAGAAGAGCAGATGGATAAGAGGGAAATGGCAAACTCACAGGTTGGTATACCAGGCAGGGTGTCGATATCGGTGTGGCCGGGCACAAGAGTAGGTAACACTGGAAAGTCTAGATGGGGCATAGAACAATCTGGCAGCTCCCCACAGAGTGAGGAGCTGCTATATACTGTGAAGAACAGGTGTACAGGATTAAGGCGCAGGTGAAACCACTGTGCTTGATGAGGTGACATACGAGGAGTTTGGGTGACCTGGAGGCAGGGAGGGGTAGGATCATGATACTGTATGTGATTGAAGATATCAATAACTAATAGAACTCACATTTTAGGATAAGAGAAGAAAGGGAGAGCTGGACCTGGAGGAACAGAGCAGATATTAAAAGGCATTTTTAGGAAAATGAAATATCAACATTACAAATTAGGAAATCCGTATATCATTCAAATCCTTGTGTGTGTGTGTGTTTACCTGAGGGCTTTTGTCCATACTATGGGCAAAGCTTATATATGCCTGCAAAGCTCTTTGAGCCAATTACAGGCAGAGGTGCTGCTAATTGCTGATTCATAAGAGCTATGTGGGAGTGAGGCGATGTGGGAGCTGGCAAGGAGAAAAGAATGCAGGTGTTAAATTTGGTGGAAACATAGTTATGCAAGTATGAATTAGAGCTGGCTATAGATGGATTAAACATTTTTTCCTCAACGTTTTCAGCTGCAGAAACTTTATAAGGGCAGGATGAAGGAGAGCGGGCCAGCATGAGTTTTTAAAAATCATTATCAGGCTGAATGACCATGAGCATCTCCTTTTCTAATTACCCACTAAAACAGGATGTTTTTTGGCCACTAATAAGAGTCCTTGTGTTGGAAGTCACAGCTGAGCTGCTTTTATTCAACTACATGCAACACCATGGAAAATGACAGGAACATGTTCTTGAGAGTCTAACCTTGTGTCAGGGCCGCTCGGCGGCCGCTGCCTCTCCTCCGTTTTGTCTCTTTGTTTTCTCCGTTTTATGGGCTCTGCACCTCAGCTGTGTTGCATTCCAGTAATTAGTAACTGGTTTGTCAACGCACACAGCTGGGGTGCATCCCGATGATTTAGTTCTCCTTATTTAAACCTCTGGCAGACGCTCCGCCGTCGCCGGATTATTGTGCATGTTAATGTTAAATGGTTGTTGCTGCTATCGTTATCGGGACTATCTGACTCACTCACACCAAGTGGGTTTATGTTTAAACTGCACTTGAAAACGTGGATAGAAGGCTACGCTGACAGTCGCTGTGCGTTCTGGCTTGAGCTATTCACATTTGTGCTTTTCGCAGGAGGTACCGAGATCTCAACGCTGACGGTCCTATTGTGCATGTTAATGTTAAATGGTTGTTGCTGCTATCGTTATCGGGACTATCTGACTCACTCACACCAAGTGGGTTTTTGCCGTTCGTTTGTAAGTGTACCTGTTCGTCCTGGTTTCCGTTGTTGTCACTCCCCCTTCGCTTGTATGTATTATGGACATTGTTATGTTGTTACGTTGTCGTTGTCTTATTTTTCCCCATTAAACCTTTTTTCGTACTAGCACCTGGGTCGGCTACCTTGAGTCCTACCCCTAGTTCTCCCTCACCCTCCTGGCGAGGGGGGCTAACCATAACACCTTGTTCACATAGGCAGATTCTAACTGATGTATTAGGCCAGCAGAAGACGTTGTTTTTTGTCAACATATGATATGTTTTCTTCATTTTATGACATCTTCGCAAATGCACTAATCAGAAACATGGGCGGAACTATGGGATGGCCAGGGGTGGCACCAACCATCCCCAGAATCTGATTGGCCACCGCGGTGCCACCCCTGCCAGAATCCAAATGTGATGCTTGTCAGTATTAATGAATGAAAAATGAAAAACTATATCCACAAAATCAGGAGCAGTCAAAAAATTCCACTTTTACAAGGGCACTGATGGATATCCTTTTTTTTATAAGCTTTATTGAAAACATACATGACAAACACAACAGTATAACATTTTGCCAATATGGCGGGGGCACTGGTGGATGACAGGCAAGCTCACATGAATGCACAACGGCCTGAATTTCATGCCCATTCAAGGAAATCCTTAAACTATCATGTAATACTTTATTTTGATATTTAAAAAAGTCTCATGAGCAAGAGTTTGCAAGACCTGTATAAACCGAATTACTTCTGCATAAAAATACTAGAACACGCGTTCACCTCATTTTTGATTTTACGACACACCTAAGATGATAATTCGCCAATGTAACACTGTAGATAAGTCAGAAAACAAGGAAAAGTGCAACAGGCCCTTTAAATAGTAGGCTACTAGTAACTTTAGCTCAAAAATGAGCTGGCATTGCCCAGGTGAGAGAGAGAACTAAACTGTGCAGGAAGTCCAACACAGACATCACCAAAGAGCAGAAATTCTTCTTCAGAAGGGGCTACAAATAATCTAAATCATAAATGGCAAAGCATGAAATTCATCAGTTATGCTGTAATTGAGATAATAGCCTAATCATCATCATTATCATTATGTTGACTGCTAGGCTATAGAGCACTAAAATGGTGGAAAAGTGGTGATTTTCCTATATATTGTGCTTACTAAGCATCCCTCTCTCTGAATTTCATTAAAAATGTAAGCTACGCACATCGGATGATAAGGTTATTTAAAATAATTTGTGAAAAATATATACTTTTGCATTACATTGTCAAATAGAGTTGGTGCCACCAAAATCTGGCACTGGTGCTACAGTCTGAGAAACTTGGTGGCACCAGTGCCTCAAGTATGAAAAGTTAGTCTGGAGCCCTGGTGTGTTCATTCATAAAAGTGGACCTTGTCCAGTCTCCAGGTAGTTTAAGGAGTCTACTCCATACAGAGAACTGTGCAGCAATAAAATAAATGGTCTTATACTTGTATAAGACAAGGACTTTTCTATGCATTGCAGCACCCTCAAAGCACTTACACAACATTTGGCAATTCACCCATTTACAATCCCAAGCACATTCACGCACTGGTGACATCACCAAGAGCAACTGGGGGTTCAGTGTCTTACTCAAGGACACTTCAACATGTGGACTGTACAAAACGGGAATCAAACCGCTAATCTTCCGATTAGGAGACCTACTCCCCTGTGCAACAGCTGCCCCAATATCAACTCTCTCTCATACAAATTACATACCTAAATTTATATATTAAATATTTTTTTCCAATTATATTGTGGTGACAATCACTAGCTGGATTATGTTCAGAGGCAACATGTTTTGTCAATGAATGAAGTGCACCATGGTCACTGGACTATGGTCTGGGTGGGTGGTAGATGTTCAATACTACCCTGACACCAGAAACCACCGATCACTACCTGACTCTCATCTGTGGTTGTTTGGGTAATGAAAGGTCTCTGGTTAAGCTTTGGGAAGGCTGGTCTTGTTACATTCAAAAAGGAAATTGTAGATCTTGAAGAGAAAAATCTTACTAATGAATGAAGAAAGTTGTTCATGGTTGTTTTATCAATCAGATCTGCAGTACTGTAGGTGAGGGAACGATGGTGGTGATTTTTATTACCAGTAGGCAGTGCATGGGTACTGCTGACCAAAGGAAAACATAGGCAGACATTGTACAGTTTGTTACAAAACCATTACAAAAAAAACAAATTACAGCTCAATTTTAATCTGTCCATTATCAAAGTCCCTCTTAACCCACATCCTTTCGAACAGCCACCCCCAAATGCACAAAGTGCATTTGCTTCATAGAAAGGCATCTAGGTTTGCATGTTTGGGGTTGGCTTGCTGTCTTCTGTTCCTTCAGGTAGGGTGCCACTGGTCTGGTGTAAACCTTGTCCTTGATCTGTACATCAGTGGATCTAGTATGACCATCTGCACAACTGATGTACCTTGATTACATGTCCTATTGGCCAAAAGGCTCTTGGTAGTTGGGGATCTATCAACATGACTATGGTGCCTTCAGTTATGTCAGTCTGGACAGCATGCCACTTCTGTCTGACTTGTAGACTGGGAAGGTACTCTCTAATAAATCTGACCCAGAAGTGGTCTGCTAGAACTTGAGAGTGGCACCAGTGCCGTTTGCTTAGAAGCTCCATTCCTGGGTAGACAACTTGGGGCAGTGAACCATCTGGCCACCCCATCAACAAATGGTTTGATGTCACAGGGTCCATGTGAGCAATGCTGGAACACATATATCCCAGTGGTTTAGAATTGAGGATGCCCTCCACTTCAGTGAGGACAGTCCTAAGGACTTCCTCGGGTACTAGTTGTGTACCAACTGTAGTGTAAAGAGCAGTTTTGATGGAGTGGATTTCTCTTTCCCACACTCCACCAAAGTGAGGAGCACTATGAGGGTTGAACTTGAACACAATCTTCTGCTTGGCTAGGATCTGCTGAATGTTAGGAGCCAGGTCAGCAGTAGCCTTTTGTAGCTCCCTTTCTGCCCCACAGAAATTAAGGTCAAGGTCAAAGGTCAAGGTCAAAGTGTTTATTTGTCATATGCAGTTAGGAAACGTGTTTCGCTGTACAATGAACTTCTTACTTTGCCGTCCACATGAATACCACAAAAATACAAGTGAAATATAAAGTAGATAAATAAGTAACTGTTACGGCTAGGTCCATCACCAGGGGGCAAGAGAGTAAGAATGAGGACTCAATGTGCAAGCTCATGTGCTAGTGAAGAAGTATCTTTATTGCAATCTACAAGCAAGCGATAAATGAATAAAGTCAATGGATTAATGCATGGTCCAAACCAGGGCTGAGCAGTGAAGATGAAGACCAGGACTGGCAGGCAAGCATATAGGGGAGTAGTAGGTCTCCAGGAAGACAGGTGGGTAGACCAGAGGGACACAGCAATCAGGAGGATCAGTCGACCAGGTGGCAAGCTGGGTAGCACTCGCCGTCAGGCACGCTGAGTAGCACTTGCCAACAAACACACAAAGCAGCACTCACCATTAGACACACAGGGTAGCACTCGCCATTAAACATGCACTTTACAGTTGTCACTGTTACAATGTTCAATGTTCAGTATTCAGTGATCTGGCCCCACAGGAGTGTCTGCCAGGGCTTTAAGTAGGGAAGAGTGATGTTCAGTGGAGACGAGCTGCAGCTGTGCACCACACCCAGTGAGCCGGTAATCAGGTGAATGCGGCTCAGCTGAGTCACTGAGCCCGCAGAAAGAGAGAAAAGAAAAGAGAGGCAGGCAGCGCTGAGCAGACCTGACAGTACCACCCCGAAAGGCTGGATCCCAGACAGCCAACAGCCAAAACACCCAGGTGAAGGAGCAGGGCAGGCTGCCAAAAAACAAAAACAACCCCTGCAAATGACAAGTCCAAAAGACAAAAACCCAAACAGTGCCCATAGGTCGAATGAAGAACATGGACACCCTAGGGCGACCCTTGAGAAGCAGGCAGGGGTGAGGAAAGGCCGTTCGGGAGGGCGGCCATGATGCCAGGCTTGTGAGCAGAGAGGCCGCTCGGGAGGGCGGCCACGGTGCCAGGCTTGGGAGCGGAGAGGCCACTTGGGAGGACAACCTCGACGCTGGACAGGGAGCTGGAGGAGCAGCCAACCATGGCGCCGGCCGGGGGTCTGGAGCCCTGAGCCAGGCAACGGCTGCTGGAGGACTGGACAGGATGGAGGCTGCGGTGGCAGCTGCTGCTGGATTAACGCTGCATTGGTAGATGACACGAAGCTCTGGGCTGGGATGACGGTGGCCCTCTAAGAAGCTGGAAGAAGCAACCCACCCCTCTGGAGCTGGAAGGAGTGGAGTGGTGTTGTCGTCAACCCACCCCTGTGGAGCTGGAAGGAGCGGAGTGGTGTCTTCGTCAACCCACCCCTGTGGAGCTGGAAGGAGTAGAGTGGTGTCATCATCGACCCACCCCTGTGGAGCTGGAAGGAGCGGAGTGGCGTCATCGTCGCGGTGGCGGCGAACCCCTCTGGAGCAGGAAGCAGGGCGGCGCCATTGGCGAACCCCT